GGAACACCACGAGTGACCGGCTGCCAATTTTTCCATCAGCTGCTCCGGAACATCCCACCCCACTCCCCCCAGACCCATCCCAGGGTGGTCCCTACCTGAGCACATCCACCATGCGCCGGGCGATGCCGCAGTGGCGCTTCAGGGCGAACACCCAGATCCTGCTGATGCCACAGACGGCCGGCTCAGGATCCACAGAGCAGCGCCAGGCACGGGCGGGCTGGGAGTCCTGCCCAGGGCATGTGGGACTGCCGTGCTCCGACAGCACCCGGAACGCCTGAGGGGCACAGACACGTCACTCTGCTGCAGCACAGCCTGCCCCGAGCCCACCCAGCCTGGCTGGCACACCTCAATCCCCTCACAACAGGGGATACCCAGCCTGGAGCCATCCCAGCCTGCAGCATCCTCAGCTCTGCAGGATCCCAGACTGGTGTGGGTGGGAAGCACCTTAAAGCTCATCCCATCCCACCCCTGCCATGGGCAGGGACACCTCCCACCAGCTCAGGTTGCGCCAAGCCCCATCCAACCTGGCCTGGAACACTCCCAGGGATGGAGCAGCCACAGCTGCTCTGGGCAACCTGTGCCAGTGCCTCACCACCCTCACAGGGAGGAATTCCATCCCAATATTCCAATTTAAGCACTGGAAGGGGCTCTAAGGTCTCTCTGAAGCTTCTTTTCCCCAGACTGAACACCCCCAGCTCTCCCACCCTGGCTCCATGGCAGAGCTGCTCCAGCCCCCAGAAAATCTTCGTGGCCTCCTCTGGACTCTCTCCAGCAGCTCCAATGCTGCTGCCCCTGGATGCCAGGGTGGGAGGCAGCTCTGCAGGTGGGACTCCCCTGAGCAGGGCAGAGGACAATGACCCCCAATTAGCACTGACCTGTTTAATTGGCTCAGCCACCAAACACCCAACGATCATCTTCTCGCTGGACACAAACAAGTAGATCTTGGTCTGGGCTGGGCAGGACAGAGCAACTTGTTTAAATCCCAGCTCATTATCCACAATTTCCCTCACATCCTCTGCCTGGGAAAACAAATCCAGGAATTAAAACAACTCAGCACAAACCTAGCTGGAAAAGGGGGTTCAGTCCCAAATAATCCTTTTTCCCATGGTCACGATTCACCTGGCAAAGAGCACACCTGACTCTCCTCCCTAAGACCCTGAGATGGAAGGATCAGGTGGTGTTGGGATGGAAGGATCAGGCTGCGGTGGAATATAAGGATCAGTCTATGTTGGGACAGGAAGAATCAGGCTGTGCAGGGGTATACAGACCAGGTCCTGTTGGCCATGTAAGAAAAGTTTTGGCACAAGGATGAGGGTGAGGACGTGTCAGGGTTGGGTTCTACAACCCCCCAAATTGCTTCCCCACCCCCCTCAGCTCTCCCTGGGCTCTGGCACTCTTTGGGAGCTGAGCCAGGACAAAGTTCATCTCCAAGAGAACTCCCAAAACAAACACTCCTGTACCTTCTTGACTGCATATTTTGGGTCGTTTGGAAGGATCAGGATGATTTTCCCATCCCAGTACTCTGCCACAACTCGCTCTTTCTTCCAGGCCTGCCACAGAGGAAGGAGAAATAACCCAAACAAACAAGTTAGGAGAGAGGAAGTGATTCAGTGATGCCTCTGGCAGGTCCTGCTGGAATCTGAGCTGTGGCAGCTGCAGGGATAAAGTCCAGTCACATCCACCGCTCTGCCGAGGGCACATGGGGCTGGACCTCACAACAGCACTTGGACTTCCCTCTGGCTGTAAAATGTTTCCCTGCAGCTCTCTGGCTGCACCTGCTTTGGGAATCACGGATCCTTCAGGTTGGAAAAGCTCCCTGAGACCATCAAGTCCAGCACTGCCAAGGTCACCACTGACCATGTCCCCAGGTGCCACATCCACAGGGATGTTAAATCCCTCCAGGGGTGGGGAAGCCACCACTGCCCTGGGCAGCTGTGCCAGAGATGCACAGCTCTTTCCAGGAAGGAACTGTTCCCAATATCCAACCTGACCCTCCCCTGGCACAGCTTGAGGCTGTTCCCTCTCATCCTGTCCCTTGTTCCCTGGGAGCAGAGCCTGACCCCACCTGGCTGCACCTCCTGTCAGGGAGCTGCAGAGAGCAGAAGGTTCCCCTGAGCCTCCTTTTCTCCAGGCTGAGCCCCCACAGCTCCCTCAGCTGCTCCAGCCCCTTCCCCAGCTCCCTTCCCTTCCCTTTTCCAGCCACTCTTCCCTCAACATGGACCACTCCATGGGGCTGGTGTGACCCAAGGGCAAGACCAGCCCTTGGTTGTGTCGTCCTTCACGCATTTATCTTCTCCTCATGGATCCTGATCCCTCTTGCAGATCCTTTTTGGCCTCCAGCAGACCCACACTCCCACCCAATCCTGATCCCACTCCCCAGATCCCATCCAGGCCCTCACCACATATCTGAGTCCCTCGAGGAACCTCTCATGGTGCTGGAGGTGCTGAGCCTCATCCTCAGGGCTGGCAGCAGAGTAGATCATCCCACAGGATTTGCACATTATAGCTCCAAAGTGCTTCTGACCTGCATCCTAGTGGGAAGCACATCCAGGTAAATGCTCTGGCACAGCTCCAAGCCATGTTCAGTTTCAGGGATAAGGATGGGAATTGGTTCTAGCACCAACCAGAGGTTGAAGTGCTTGTTTCCAGTTGGATTTGAGGAGAAGGTTTAGGTTATTTGCAGAACATTTGGAGTTAGGCAGCTGAATTTATCCAGGGAATACAGTGCATCCTAGTGGGAAGCACATCCAGGTAAATGCTCTGGCACAGCTCCAAGCCATGTTCAGTTTCAGGGATAAGGATGGGAATTGGTTCTAGCACCAACCAGAGGTTGAAGTGCTTGTTTCCAGTTGGATTTGAGGAGAAGGTTTAGGTTATTTGCAGAACATTTGGAGTTAGGCAGCTGAATTTATCCAGGGAATACAGTGAATGTGGTGAATAAGGGA